CATACTTTATGTTCAATTGAATACCATTCGCCCAATAGTGGTTGTAGAAAATATCCATATTAGAATGAGCACATTATTCTGCGCACTTATGACTTTTTACCTGACTCTAATCTTATGATCAGGTTTCTTAAGAGTATTTATCTTAATCGAAATGCACAAAGAGCACGCCAGTGACATCAACCTCTTGCTTCCCAAATGTCCAGCACCGTTTAATAAACCTTTGGAGTTTCTGATCAGATGTATCAAGGATAGAGCAGAAGAAGGGCTCGTGTAACTCTCGAAATCAGTATCCAGCTAGTTGAGTTTAAAGTGTAGTATAAGTAACTTAATCTACATCCCAAATCAATCGATAGAAGCGAATCAATTAAGCAGGCTGTATTTCCCGAATTGAAGTGTACATGCGCATCATCTCATGTTTTCTCTTAGCTAATACCAGTCCTGACGAGACGCCTGAAGGCGATGGAGCGGCTCGTTTTAAGGAGATCAAGGAGGAAGCCGATCGAATGAAGATCGACGAACGCATCGAATACCTTCGCAAGATCAACCGATCTCGCGTCAATGAAATGGAATACATGCGAGACTACGAGTTGAAGGAGTTCGCTGCCAACACCAAGCACCTCACTAGAATTCTCGATCTTCTTCCACTTCTCAACCATCAGCGATGCTTCTACTCTGGCAAGAACATCGAAGGTAGCCGACGACGCAAGAAACGATCGCTTGACAACAACTCAACCACCGATGATGCCTCCTTTGAATTGCCTCCTCTGGAAGTGGGCACAACTTCAATCCTCTCATTCCTTTAACTCTCAATCACCCCCTCTCTCCTTTGATTACTACTTGTTGGGCCTCTTGTGCCGCATTTTGCTTATGATTTTCTAATTTGCGTGAATGTATAAATCCCGAATGAGTATAGCGATTAAAACACATTCTTCTCAATTATTTAGGCAAATTTTACTTCCATTAAATATACGTAGTCTATTTAACACTTCTTTCTTCTGATGTTGAAATCACGTATTTTGGGCCTGATGACTGCAATGATTTCGAAGGCGTTTCGTGGTGACATGCATTTGCGTGAATGGATTGCACCTTCTAGCTCCTGGTGTCCAGTCACCTAGTAAAAACCCGTTCGAGATAGGTGGACCAGAGTATGATCTACGCTGGCCCTCCGACAAATGAATTCCGTTTTTCCATACTTGCAATTGTCTTAAATAGGCGTGTGACCCCTTTCCTTTTATATCGCCTGAAATATTTCCACTATGTCGGACATTTAGGCGGAATATTTAACTATTCGACCAATAATTATTGAAATAAATGGCGAGTTTTCATTTCGAGTAGAAGTTCCTTATGGTGAGTCGAATATTATTATTATTTCAAATGGCAGGCTTTATGATATTAATCATTAGCCCCTCAGTTGACTTCGGCTTCCCCCAAGGGTGGGGGGGGGGTACATTTATAGCTATTAATTAAAAGCGGTTCATTAGCTGACTTCTTGCTTCCCAGTAGCACTGGCTTTCCGTCCTTGTCTTTAGGGGTGGACACCGAATCAGATGGATCTTCTCCATTTCCTCCTGTGGGTTACATAGAGGGCATGTGGGTTGAGTGTATACTCCCAAACTGTGAAGGTGTTTTGCCCGGCAATCGTGTCCGGTACGTAGTCTAAACTCAGCAACGGTTTCGATTCTTGGCCAGTCGGCTATGTCGGAGAGTGTCACTGTCCACTGTTTCTCCTTTGTTCGATCTTTAAGTTCGTTGTACCTTGAGGTCTGGAATTCTCTCCTGATTAAGGCCTTCATTGTGTGGAAAGACATCGGCCGGTCCATGCATTGCAAATCGTTGTCCCCTTCTTAGCAAGTGTGTCAGCAAGCTCATTGCCTTTAATGCCACAGTGACCAGGAATCCATTGTAGGACCACTGTTATGTTTTTCTCTCTCAGCAGCTGATAGAGTTTTCTATGAGTCGAATATTGACTGTGGCATTGACAGTCAATATAGGCTATGTCTATTTTATTGACTTGATCTCATCTCTTTCAGCCTTGTGGGATTTTAATTCACTCCAGTTGGTTCTTGAATACAGTTGTTTGGAATTAAAGAGGAATTATGCTGACGATTTGGCAAAGGAGACTTCCTGTTCAAACAATTTACTTGATGCTTATTGGAAGGCCTAAGTTCCAACTTCCAGAATTCGATAAAACAGAAAATTGCAATAACAGGGCTAAATTTGTTTGCAAATAAAAAAAATAAAATTAAAATTAAAATAATAAAAAAGTTATTATTTCAAATAGCAGGCGTTTTGAATATTTATCATTAGCCATTTAGCTGACGTCGGGCTTCGCTGAGGGAGGAAAATCAAAGAGAGAACAATTTGGGAGGGGGAACAGAAGAGTGATTCACAGATGTAGAGAAGACAGACAGACACAAAGGCAGAGAAAGGGTGAGATGAGTACTGTGGAAGCTGTGTAATATGACATACAGTGGGGTCATAGTAGTTTGAAGTCAGAAGTCAACTGCCAGGTAATAGACTTTTTTGCACCACGTGGAGGTAAGTCTCTCGCACACCCCAAAATAAAAAAGTAAAATTTTAAAATAAATAGTTGATTTGGCGGACACTAATTTGTTAATAACTAGCCGACCCCACTTAGATGCACTAGCACTTAACTACTTCAGAAGAGGTGAAATCGTAGGTTCAGCTTATTGACTATAATTAAGTAGTGTGCATCTGATCATTCCCACCACTGATGAACGTCGATCGACTTGGAAGTTGTAGACGTTTGCTACTGCCTTAACAGCGCACTTAAATGACCATGTGACCAGGCTGTTCTAGTGGTCGGTTGAATACCAGCTCACAGGGTTTTTATGTCTCAAGGTGCAACGGACTTAGAGCTCGAACAAGGGAGAAACAGTGGACAGTGGCCGACTGGCCAAGAATCGAAGGCGTTGCTGAGTTTAGACTTCGTACCGGACACGATTGCCTAGCAAAACACTTTCACAGATTGGGAGTATACACTCAGCCAGCATGCCCTCTGTGTAACCTACATCAAAACACCTTCACAGATTGAGAGTATACACTCAACCCACATACTCTATGTAACCTACAGGAGGAAATGGAGAAGTCCCACCTGTCTATGTGACCTACAGGAGGAAACGGAGAAGACCCACCATATGTAACCTACATGAGGAAATGGAGAAGACCCATCTGATCTGTAACCTACAGGAGGAAATGGAGAAGACCCACCTGATGTGAAACCTACAGGAGGAAATGGAGAAGACCCATCTGATTCTCTACAGGAGAAAATGGAGAAGACCCACCTGATTCGGTGTTCAAAGGAGGAAATGGAGAAGACCCACCTGATTCGGTGTCTAGCGATCAACCCACATGCCCTCTATGTAACCTACAGGAGGAAATGCCAGCATGCCCCCCCTTGTGACCTACAGGAGGAAATGGAGAAGATCCATCTGATTCGGTGTCCAGCCCTAAAGACAAGGACGGAAAGCCAAAGATACTGGGAAGTCAGAAGATAGCTAATGAATTACTGTTAACTGTCCTAAAGCCTAAATATATGTTCCTCCCCCTCACCCTTGTGAAAGCCAAAGTCAACTGAGGGGCTAATGATAAATATCATAAGGCCTGCCATTTGAAATAATAATAATAAGGTCTTTCTCTTACGTATCAAAAATATTTTATCTACCATCTCTCTCACTCACCCAAGAAAAACGACCGCGAATGTAAATCAAGAAATGTCAAGCGATAACAGCTCATTATCATGCTTCGATGAAAATCTTCACTCATTTTCATCATCCACTTAGTTTGACCCAGAGAACTTGTGATTCCACTTGGTGTGCTCAGCTTAAAATATGCAACTCATAAATTACCTTTGCATAATTATCTCAACTGAGCATCCACTCACTAATCTCCAATCACCATATGGAAAACGTTCTAATGGACTTCCAGACCTCAGCGTTAATGACCTTGTTTTTGACGACTTGGATCACTTTTATCAACTTCAAGACGCGTTTAAGCAAGTCGACTGCGATTAGCAACTTAATTTGAGTTCAGTCTAGTTTCTAGAGCTCATTTATAATTTTTTTGCCAGTCTGTTCAAGATTTCTAAATCTGCTGAAATATTCATTCCATAAGTTTGCTTATATGGAAAGAAGGTGTATCTTCCTGCCTAATCACAGTTATTTATTGGGCATAGTTAAAAATTGGCCAATCTTTAATTCATCTGGCATAAAATGTGGTGAATTTTACTAGTTCAATAACGTGCGTTTAATAGGAAATGCCAATAAATAATGCCATAATTAATTGAATCTGATGGTACATCAACAATTGTGGATATTGATTAATGGCAGTCTCGTTCATCATTTTGCGGGATTAAGTTGTGTCATTTAAGATTTGTTTAAGAGCGTTCGACTTACATTCTGAACATATAAGTACCCAGTTCTTTGGGACCTAAAAGTAATTGGATTCACCATTAAAATTTCTAGACCAAAAATCACAGTCACTTTTGAGGTATGAGAATTTGCTCCAAGACTATATCGTAAAATTTTGCCACAGCATATATAGTCAGTGAATTTTTGTTGAAAGTCGGGGGGAGGGGTGGGTAAATCTTGTGAACATCCTTTCTTGCAATATGGGGTGCGCGATAGACTTACCTCCACGTGGTGCACCCTGGACAACGTATCTTCGTACGGCAAAAAAGTCTATCACTCGGCATTCGTTTTTGACTTCGATTTGTTATGATTAGCTATAAGAAAAATCGCCCTCGTCAGGGCGAAACACAACGTCTTCAGATCCTCCAGTGGAATGCTGGAATGATTCGGTGTCCAGCCCTAAAGACAGGGACGGAAAGCCAGAGATACTGGGAAGCAAGAAGACTGCTAATGAGCTGCTATTAATTAACTGCAATAAATGTACCCCCCCCCCCTACCCATGGGGGAGAAGCTGAAGTCAAAGTTTAAGGGCTAATGATAAATATCATAAAGCCTGCCATTTGAAATAAATAAATCCTTTCTTGCAATATTACGGGGAATGCATTCGCATTCACGGAGTATAATTTACACTCAATAGTGTCAATAACAAAAATTTTGGGGAGAAAGGTGGCAGTTTAATCCTCCCAAATATTCCTGCATCAAAATACAATTTAAAGTATTTCTATTTGCTGTTCTTTGATGTTTTACTGCATGCCGATTTAAAGAATATTCAAACAAAGTTTACCGCTTTAATTAGCAGTATGGAACTTGTGGTCTCCTTTCCAAAATGCGGTCTGAATTAAATTAAGGAAACCAACAGTTATGTTTGATCTTTAGGAGTAATAAACTGCGTTTCAGTGCAATTTGGGCTCTGTCTAGAATAAGGCCTGTGTTTTAACAGAAGGCGAAAGTGGTTAGCCTGATGCATTTTCTATTCACTAAAATTACCATTAATTTTGAATATGAAGAACTGCTAGTATTTTCATAATGTGAATATTATGAAGTTAATAAGTTGTAAGAATACCGGTTACCGTAATGGAAATAGCAATTCATCTTAATTTATCTTTTCACTATTGTTGACTGTATGGAAGACCTTCTAACATAAGCGAGTTATTAGAATAGACAACAAATAATCGCATTTAGCATTTTTCATATAGATTATTTATTTTAAATTGCAGGCATTTTAATAGTCATTATTAGACCTCTAGCTGAGAGATTGAACAGAAGAGTGTTTCAAAGGTGTAAAAGAGACAGGCAGACACAAAGGTAGAGAAGAGGGTTAGGTGAGTACTGTGAAAGTAATCGAATATGACATACAGTGGAAGTAGACGAAT